GCCGAGAAAGGTGAAACAGGGAAGCGAGTGATGGCAGGAGTCCCAACCGATGTTGACCCGTTGCTGGCGAGCCTCTCGACGCTTACGCCTCTTCCTGGTCCTGGATGTTGAAGTACTTCAGCTGGTAGGTGTCTTTGCCCCGGGCGAGGATGCGGATCCAGTCACGGAGGTCCTTCTTCTTAAGGAACTTCTTCGTGAGGTACTTGAAGTACTTCTTGCGGTAGACCATCGTCGTCGCAATCGTGAGGACGTTGTCGCGCAGACCAACACGCACCTTCTCCGTCAGTTTACCTTTGCGCCCGTTCAGCTTCACGTTGTCCTGGAAGTACTGCTCGAAGTTGCTGAGGATCTCCTCGCTGAAGATGCCGTCGTTGGCGGGAATGGCGCAGTCAATCTTGAACACCTTCTTCCCCTTCGCCAGCTGCTTCTGGCGGACGTAGCCGCGGGAACCGACCTTTGCGCGAACCGCCACCATACTTTTCGCTCCTTCTTGAGGTAGGGATCCAAGAAGAGAGAGAGACGGGCAGAAAAAGAAGAAGAAAAAAAAGAGCAACAACAACAATAATAATAAACAAATGTCTCCTTCCAGTTCCGTTAACAGTGGTTGGCGAATTGCGAAGGCGAGTGCGTGAGAGCAGGTTTCCCCTGCAACCATGCCGTCTCCGTTCCCCTCTCCACGCTCTTGCGTCGCGGTGTTGTGGCGGGGGGCGGGGGAAAAAGGCGCAGACGCCCCAAAGAAGGAGGAGGAGGAAACGGAGGCGGGCGGGCACGCGCATACGCGTCGCCCAGCGGGAGTTGCCGCGGGGCAGCAGGTGGAACGCCAAACAGAGAACCCCAAACAACACCTGAGAGGAAACACGCAACGGAATGAAGGAAATCGCCACCCACCCCGTCCCTCTCTTCGTCCCAGCGAGAGAAAAAAACAAAACAAAAAAAAAACAGGGCACCCACGCCAAAACTCACTGCGCACGCCCACCTTCTTCTTTTGCATCCTCGTGCGGCGTCGTGGCGTCACTCGCCCCCGTCTCGTCCACCACTTCCTCCACAAAACGCTTCTCTCGTCGGTCGTGCCTCTTTGCTGCGGCATTCGCCTCCTTGCGGGTCCGACTCATCGCGAGCTGCCGGGCGCGGAACTCTCTAAATTTCTTGCGCTTCTCGATGTCCTCTTGCGCCCGACGCTCCATCATCCCCTTCACGCGCTCCGCCTCCTCTGCGCGGCGGCGCCCCTCTTCATCATCCAAACGCTGCTGCTCCTCTGGGGCGATCCACGGCGCCTCATCGCCCTCGTCGACGTCAATACCGGCCTTTTCCAGTTCCCGGCGCCGCCGCTTCTCCATCTCGTACTTCTTAATGTCAAACCGCACTATCGGCGTGCAGCACACCGCGCGCACCTGCCGCAGCTGCACTCGCTGAAGAAACGGGAAGTAGTGCCGTACCCCGGCAGACCTCCTCGCTATTGCCAAGGCAAACATCAAATCGGTATGACTGAAAAACAAAGAATATAGGCGACTAACTTACACACGCGCACCAATCACGGCCCTCCTTCATTCAGCTCACGGGTCAGCCCACCATCGCACACAGATGCACAAGGAGGAGGTGAAAAAACAAAAAGAAGAAAAGTATACAAGCATCAACACAAAAATGATTCAGTATACACATATATACATATGTGTGTGTGTGTATGTATACTTTCTCCTTTGGCCGTCCGGCTCTCGGCACACGAAGACTCACACACAAGTCTATCTCTCAGCGTGAGTGCAAAATTCTCGCCCCTCGCTTCCCTTCCAGTGAAGATGGATTAAACACCAAATAAAAAGCAACGATAGGAGCAACAGCTAAAATGTGTCATATTCCACACACAAAATACCACGAAGAAAAATGAACATAAAAAGTAAAAGTAAAAACAACAACATTAACATAAACTAACTGGCGCCTACGCCAAGCTCATCCGGAAGGCAATACAACTGAATGGATTTCAGCGCCGATATGTAACCATGAGCTGCGTTGAGTTCGTCGCGAATGCCGAGGCGCAATTCACGAACAGACGCTTCGTTCAGATCTATGCGGCCGCGCTTTTGTGCATCAAGAGTGTCGCGCTGAAGAGCGCGAAGATCAGCCACGTAGTGCTCTAGATCTTCTTCGACAGCCATCACGTTTGCCCGCAAAAGCAGATCCTTGGCAGACTTACGGGTCAAATTTACCTCCTTTGGGGGTTCTACTGGTTCGAAAGGAGTCATAGTTGTCGCATGATGGGTGGATTCCTGCAAATCAACAACGAGTGGGCTTCCCATCGTAGTCGCACTAAATAAATGAAAAGGTGTGCCCTTCTCAGACACCGGCTCAAGTTTCACCTCCCCCATAGAGTTTTCCCTCTCCACCACGCAGGCAGCCCCACGATGATCTTCCGTCTGTGGAGTGTACGCGAACGTCCCCAACGATGTCAACACACTGTCGTCGCCCTCCCTCGGTGGGGTCTTTCGTGGTGAAGTAAACCGTAGGCGCACATTGGTAGCGGGCTTCTTGTGAGAACAACTGGGGGTGAAAGAGGCAGCGTAGGGCGGATCATCCATTGGCTGCGGCCTCGGCAGATACACAGATGCGCCATTTTTTCGGCCCTTTGCAGAGAGTGATTCCCCTCGCATGGCAGCTGCACTGCGTTCCACAACAAACTCGCACTTCACCTCAACAAGCCGCTCCCTTAGCCGGCGGGTGGCCTCGTTGAGGTGTCCGACCTCTGTCCATAGCGCCTCCTCCAAGAGCCGGAAGGGCGAGGCCGCGACGGCATTGGTGGAGGAGGATGACTGCACACGCACCCGTGAGCCGCGAAGGGAAGAAGTGCGCAACGCACGCTTCGCTGTCGCTTCCGAAGTAATGGGGTTTACTGGCGAGTGTCGGGCGCCTATTATTGCCGTCCCCAACGTCTTGCGCCACCGCATAGGCGTTGCTGTCGATGCCGCCAGCTCTTGCATGGCGGGAGCAAAGGGACCGACGGGTGGGTGGGTAGAAGCCGACGCCCTTCGACACCGTTGCGGCAGCAGAAACCTCAAGTCGCACGGCACGTGCAAAGGAAACCCCAAAAGGAAGTAGAAGAAGAAAAAATAAAGAAAAAAAAGGAAGAAAAGACGAATAGAATTCAATGGAGATGACGGCCGACGCAAAAACTACTGCTCATAACGCAAGTGCTTCACAAGCGCATCAACAGCGCAGAGAGAAGAAAACAACAACATATGTATGTATATATTTATTTATTTAAGGAAAAATAAACAGTTCTATTTTCTTTCCTTTTTTTTTTAGACGGGTTTATGTGTTTCCATCCTTTTTTTTTGGGTTTTGTTTTGTTTTTCTCCCCATTTTAACCGAAATGTGCCTCAATCAAGAAAAAGAAAAATCCCGCCGCCTCTCGCACGCCAGCACAATTAACTTTGCCGCCGAGTTGGCAGACACGTACGCGTGCATGGGAACAAATGCCAATCCCTAGCTATGAGCCCTGCGCAGCTGCTTTTTTTTGTGTTTCGCCTGCGTAACTTGCATAGTGGCACGCTCGACCAGTTTTGATTCAGCACTCCTTGCCCCAAGAGCCTGCGCGCTGGTGCGGAATCCTCCCTTGCCACCCGCAGTGCCCATGTCCTTTTTGACAAGCAGTTCCAACCTCTTCTGGAGCACCTTGATGGCCTTTTCCTTTGCCCGATTCTCATTGTCCGCCTCGTCGTCCACCATGTCATCCACCTCTATATCCGCCTCACGACTCATACGGTGTGCCCAATTATTCCGCGCCCGCGACTTATCAATTTCCTTCTGTAGCTTGTCAATTTGCATCGCCACCTTTACATGCGAGTGAAGCTGATGCACAATGGTTGGTTGGAGGGCAAACATCTCCATCTCACTTGTGCCTCGCCCCAGCGAGTCCATCAATTTTTGGAAGGAGACGTGCTCCTGCGCGTTGATCATCAGAATCGAAAGGCCAGTGCCGCCACAACGCGCCGTACGACCACAGCGGTGAATGTAAGCGTCCGTGGAACGGGGGACTTGAAAGTGAATAACGTGCTTTAGCCCCTCAACATCCAAGCCGCGGGAGGCAATGTCTGTCGCCACTAGCACACGTTTCTCACCCTTCCTAAATTTGTCAATGTACTTCAAACGTTGTCGCTGCTGGAGCGAGGCGTGTAGGCCCGCCACTGGGATTCCAAGCACCTCCAGCAACTTCACCAGACGACGAAGCATAGATATGGCGTTCACAAACACAATTGTGCGTTCATGGTACATCTTGAGGAAGTAATAGAGGTAGAGATCCTTACTATCGCCTGGGCAACGCAGGTAAGTTTCTTGTATCTTTGCCGTAACATCCGCCTTGGGTGAGAAGGTAAACACTTTGGCGTTTGAGGGCTTAATCTCCAGCTGCTGAAGAACCGTCGCCATGGTGTCGGCGTTTGTCGTGCGGATAACCGTCTTTTTAGCCCGAAGATCTTTCCGCTCGTAGTTCGTCTGGAGCGAGAGGGTGGCACTGGTGACAAACGTGACAGTGCGATGCCCTTCTGCTGGGTTGGGTGGCATGGGAATAGGGCGTGGGACGTCTTTCCGTCGACGCTGCTGCTGTTCGTGGGGATCCCCGGCCGCGTTGGTGTCCTTTTCCTTATTTTTGGAGAACGGCACAAACTTCTGTGCCTCGTCGTCCCAGCGTCCCGCCTCAAGCTCCATCTCTGCCGCCTCAGCCCCCTCCTCACGCTCCTGCACGAAGCCAGCAGGCAACACCTCACAGTGAATACGTTCCAGCAGATTCTTGAGCTCCTCAAACCGTCCGGATTGAAGAAGTTTATCCGCCTCATCGAGCACCACAAAGGAAAGACGGCGGCTTATACTGTGACCAAGATAGCAACCCTCATTCTTTTGAACAAGCTCCCAAAGTCGACCAGGAGTACATATCAGCACATGTGGGTGACGGTTCAACACGCGCTGCTGCTTCTCCGGAGCCATACCACCAACTACGCAACCAATAACCACGTGCCGTGCATGTTGAGTTAGCTGGAGAAAGGCCTCGTTGATTTGCAGAGCCAATTCACGTGTAGGGGAAATAATAAGTGCTTGCATCAGTCGTTCTTTGGGAACTGCGGCTGGCATAGTGGGAGAAGAGGCCTCCTCAACCTTCCCTGGGGTCTCGTCCCGCACCCGCTTTCGAACTCCGCTACCGCTGTTCTTGACGTCGTCGCTCGCACCGCCCTCCTTTACCGGGACGAACTTTTTGCCTGTTTCTACTCTTTTCTTAGTGGGTCTCTTCTCCTTCCGTTCTTCTTTCGCTTCCCCGTCATTTTCAACGGTTTCTCTCTCATTAGTGACTGAGTGCTCGTTGGAAGGCATTTTGGAGAGGATTTGATGCAATATGGGCAGCGCGAAGGCCAGAGTTTTCCCACTTCCTGTTTCCGCTGAGATGATGACGTCCTTCCCGCATCCACGCTGCTTTTTGCTTCCCTTCCTGGACGATGTCGCACCCGCCACCGCCTCCTCACCACCACCCTGGAAGAGGACGCTGGGGAGAACCTCTTCCTGCACAGGCGTCGGATGCGCAAAGCGCATGCTCCTCAGGGCACCTAGCAGCAAAGGGTGCAAGCCCACGCGTTCCCAAAAGAGGTAAGGGTCACCGTGGTGTCGGTACTGATTCTTGTTGGCCGCGGTAGAACCGCCTGTTCCGTCTCTGACACCATCCCTCTCGTCCAGTTGCACCGTTGGCAGACTGAGCGGATGATCCTCTGGAAGAGGCGTCTCTGGCAGCGCAAGTCGATTGCTGCCGTTGGCGCCCTTCTCCCCCTCGACGGGGCGCAGCAGAAGATCGGTGAGGCTGCGCGGATCAAACGTCACCTCCCGCGTCGGTGCCGCGGACCCCGCCGCGATCTCCTCCACCAGCGCCTCCAGAGGCCGTGAGCCGCTGTCGATGCCGTCGTAGCGATTGTGCCGGCGCTTCGCCGCGCGCATGCGCTTCCGCACCTCGGAGGCGACGCGGTGCCGCTCCTTCATCTCGTTCTTGCGGGCGCGCTGCTTGAACGTCGCCTTCTTGAGCGACATCTTTGCGCGGCCTGCGTCCTGCGCTCCGCCCTTTCACCTCCCACACGGGCAGGGAAATTTTTCTTCACTCCCGTTCCCACACGCCCGCGAAAGGCGGGGGGGGGAAAGGAAAAAGGAAAAGAAAAAAAGAAAAGGACTGTTCCAAAGGTAAAGAACCAAAAAAAGCAGCAAAGCGAAAAAAAAAATGATAGTGATGATGAGAATAGTAATAATACAGAAAAGAAGGGAAATAATGTGCAAAGTGAAATAACAACAGTAGCACCACCACCATCAAGAGAACGAAAAAAAAAACTTAGTCCCTGAAACGCCTCGCCCGCAAGAGAAGGCCGTGAAAAGAAGGCAGCGGGCGGAGTGACGGTATTCGCTGCAGAAACGCCCACAGCTGCATGGGCGGTGATGAAACAATGACACACACGATAACATAGAGAACCAGCAAAAGAGAAAAAAAATAATAATATAAAACATGGCACATAATCTATAAATAAAACTAATAATCATAGAAACGATAGTAATCGCATAAAACAAGAAAAGCATCACGCCTTTTTCCCATCAATTTTTTTCATTGGTGGCGCCTTGCTCATAGTGAAATAAAACTAAAAGCAAATATGTATCCATCACTGTCGCTCCGGTTATTTCTGTTGCCTCTTTTCTTTCACTATTTCCTGCAATGTTAGTCTCCTCTTTCTGACAATTTCAGGCAGCCTGCTGCAGTGCATGAAAAAGTAAAAAGGAAAAAAAAGAAAAGAGCAACAGCCGCTACAAGGGTAATTACGGCACTGGCACCAAGTTCTTCTCCGAGGATCAATTGTGAGAGTTCTTCACCAGCCAATCCACAACCTCGTTAATGTTAGTCTGGCGCAGCGCGGAGATGGGGATGACAAGCCATGGATTATCGCGAATGGCCTGCAGGTTCAGAAACTCCACGCATTCCTCTTTGGTCATGTGGGGCTCCAGGTCAATCTTGTTTAGACACACCAGCATGGGAAGGCCGTGCAACGCCTTGTCCTCGAGCAGCTTGTGCAGCTCCCGCTTGGAAAGTTCTGTGCGCTGGAAGTCGCTGGAGTCCACGCAATAGATCACGCAGTCACAGCCCTGTGTGTAGCGGCCCCACTCGCTGCGGAACCGCTCCTGTCCGCCGAGGTCCCACACCTTAAGCTGCACTCCCTGCTTCCGCACCATCTTCACATTAAGCCCCACGGTGGGAAAGGTCTCAATGGGGTGCCCCACCGAAAGCACATTTAACAGTGTCGTCTTACCGCTGTTTTCCAAGCCAACAAGACACAACTCAAGCTTCTTCTCACTCGAGAAGAGATGCTTCATCTTAGCCACTAGGTTCCCCATCCTCTTATTTTTCTTGCACCTCGGTTTGTCTTTTTGACCCCCTCCGTACTCTCCTCTTTCACCTATTCTCTAGAGTGTTGGTGTGCAGAGACGCGTGAGAGCAATATTGCAAACATCATTCACTAGCTTTCCATATGCAGCCCTCCCTACATCACGTATACATACATTGCAATGAAGCCAGAAAGAGAACTTGCCTCCACTGACTAAAAGGGGCATTTGCAGGCAGGGAACAACTACAAGAATAGTAAAAAAAAAAATTCATCATCTGCATGCAACGTATTTCGTAGTGTGCATTGCACATTTTTGGAAAATTGCCACGTCTACCGCCGATGTCGCTCCGCGCTTACAGAGTTCATGGATTCCGCCGATATCCCTGCCGAGTAGAGCACGCGGTACACACCGTTGCGGTCGTAAAAGCCGCTAAAGTCGATCCATGTCAAAAGTGGAATGAGCTGCGGGTAGTCCGCGCCCACTGGCGAGGCGAGCTCAGAGAGCGCCTTCAGAAACCGTTCCTCTGCGCCCGTCAGTGTCTCCCTCACCTGCTCCGCACTCAGCTGTGACGGCACCCCTCGTCGACCCATCTCAGTAAAGCTAGAGACAATTTCCAGAATTCGCGACAAACTTTGGAAGCGGTGAGAGCTGGCGAGCACCAAGCCAACCTCAACCCCCTCAAAGAAGTCCTGCAAGGCATTGCTGACGGCGAAAACGCTGTCCGCCTGGCCGATGCGACCCATCATGCGACCCCACAGCGGCTCCACAACGAAGTGTGCCGCGTAAAACTGAAACTGCCGGACAAACTGAATAAGTTGATGTTTGATGCTGTATGCCTGGAAGGACTGGTGGGGGGCGTCTACATCTGTCCACGCCGTGGTAAGATTGCGTTCGCAAATTTTCAACCATGTAAATAGACGAAAAACCGCATTCAAGCGTCTCAAAACGGCAGCGTCCAAGACCATCGTGAGGGGCCATTTCAGATCGGCTTCTAGCTGAAGCAGTTCAATGCAGCGGTGTGTTTCTATGCGCATGGCACTTTTTCTACCGCAAGACCCACGCGGGCATGCCTCGTCTGTGTTGTGTTCAAAACAGCCGTTGACGCACCGTTCAATTGTGCTATCCGAAAAGCTGCAGCCAATGGTACTGTGATACGGGTCCGTCCCACAACATCTGGCAATCGCCGCCTGAAGCAAGACCCGCAGCGAGTGCACTTTGACCTGCACTGGTGACTTGACCAGAAGCTCCTCGGCGCTGTCGAGGAAGTCAACCAGCCAATCCCCGCGTTGGTGGAGGAAGTAGCTCTTCAGCGAGGTGAGGTGTCCGAGGAGATCCACTTGGGACCCCAGAAACAGCTGCAGCACCTCACCGCTGGAAATCTCGTACGACTCCTCAATTTTGCGATGCAGCTTTTCGTCCCCCGACCAGACGAGCATGTGCTCCGCCACGTCCCCAAACGCCGGCAGGGTCCCGTTGTACTCGCGCAGGAGGCAACAGTACTTGCCAGCGTAAAACACCATCTTTGCAATCTTGGAAGTTTTCAAGAGGAAGTTCGGGATCATGTTTCTATTCATAGAGAAGCGCCGCTCAAACTCAACTGCCTCCTCGGAGGCTGCGCCACCAGAATCGTCCGTGGCGGCAAAGTTTGGAAAAACGCGACTCACCATACTCCTCGCGCCGCCGGAGTTGCTCACAGCCAACGTCGTCGCCGTCGCGCCGGACGGCGGTCGGACCTCGGAGATAAAAAATTCCCCATACGGATCTTCCAACAACCCCTCATGCATCCAGCGATGCAGAACGCGCAGGTACGGCACCGATGCTCGACGAAGCAGCAGGAGCAGCAACTCATCGTCTTCTCTGCTGCCCGAGCACTTCTCTGACTGTTCATGGAGGTGGTTTAAAAGACGCCAGCCGGCCATCGACAGGGTCCCCTCCTCGTCCGCGATGGTGTCCGTGGGGAGCACCTGGCGCAGCCGCACAATGTGATGGCCCGCCCGCAGCACTTCCGAGACGGCGCCCATAAGCGGCATCGCCCTGCCTTGGGCCCAACGCTGCAGGTTGGCCATCTCATGGGCAAAGCTGGTGCAGACCTCCGACACAACTTCCCCGAGAGCCATCGCCACAAGACTCTTCCCCATGTACTCCGCCCGTTCCACCTTGCGGAGCGCAACGAAGGCATCCGCGACAGGGATGATCGTCTTGCACAGGCTGCGCATCGACACGGGCACGTGACGCGATACAAGAAAACCGTCGCGCGAGGCCTGAAGGAGGGATCCACCGTGACCCACAACCGCGGCAAGCACGTCTGCCGTCACAACACGGTCCTGAATCTCCTCCGGCACATCCTCCAGCTTCGCATAGTCCTCAAAGTGAGGATATGCCGTGGTGGAGACGGCCGCTACAGACGCCACCACCCCCACAGCTTTCTTTGCAGGACCAGCAGCAGCAGACGAAGAAGTGGAAGAAGCGGCACTGCTTTTGCAGCGCCTCAGCCACTCCGTTTCCAAAATGGCAATACTGATGGCATCAGTAAATCCTGCCTCGACAATAACGGCCCGCCGATCGGTGGCATGCTGCACCTCCTGGAAGGAAACGGATCGAGACTCCAAAGAAGTCACAAAATTCGCCCACAAGTGTGTGGCCATAATTGTCTGCCCTGCAGTGCAGCCTCCCCTCAGTCTCCTTTTCTGTTTTTTTTATTTAATTAATACCTTTTTCCCCCGCTATCCGCTTCTTCCAAGAGGAGGCTATATAACCGGCAGACCAGAGAACGACCAAGCTGTGGTGATGCGTCGTGTGGCCCAAAGCCACGCGCAGAGAAAACCTGCAATGAGCGGCAAGGAAGGAGTCCTGCCCCGTACTGCCAACCACGCACCCCAGCGAGCGCCCCCAGCTCGCCGCGTTCGGAGTGGAATGGCTTCCTCGGGGGTTGCCGCCACGTAAACCAGAAGAAAACTAAAATAAAAAAGGGAGGGGGGAGGGGAGGGGGAAAGAGCCCAAATAGCAACAACAAGAAAAATTACTCCACGCATGCTGGCCGGTACGCCAACGGCCCAAGAGGCTTGGAAACAAACAAACCCGGCAAAAAAAAAATGTTTATATTACATTTAAGACTTAAAATAATATCCGCGTGGCGCCTACGAATGGACGGGCCCTTTAGGCCTCCGATGCCGTCTCTCCAGCAACGGGGCACGACGCCGCAGCGAGGCGGACCCCACGGGGCGCTTATAGAGGCGATAGCAGAGTGAAAAAAAATCCCCACCTCCCCAAGGCATAAACCACAATTCATCCACACGCCACCGAAGCGCACCCAACACCACGAGTTCCATTCAACGTAGACCATATCGAGAGAGAGAGAGTAATAGGCATGCCCAAATATGCCACACTTTTTTTTTTTTCTCTACCACGCCACTAGATCAGCAGAAGAAAAAGCAACTCGGACGGGGCGTAAACGGGCATTGGCGCCGTAGGCGGGCAAAACAGCACCACCACCACTCACCGCGGCATGCAGCTCTCGTGGGTCTCGACTCTGCACATCCGCTGTGAAAACAACAGCAACAGCCGAAGCAGCAACGGAAAGGCAAAATGAAAATAAATTTTAACATTTAGTGGCCATAAATCTGAGTGAGTTGTGGAAGAGGAAACAATCTTACGATAAAAAGGAAGACAAAAAGGACTTTTTACGCCTCAGCTCCATGGCGTTTGCCACTTGGTGACACGCCTCGCGCCACACCATTTCGTCTGAGCGCAACAACAGGATTATATCACGCAATGTAAGTTCCTCCTCCGATGCATCCAACGAATGCTGCTGCCTTTCCGCCGTGGCGTCCTGATCACGCTCTTCAGGACCATTGGGCTTTGTAGCAGCCGCCGTGGAAGCCTTTGCACGCGTTAACTGGTGCAGCCCCCAATATTCAATGGCCGCCTGTGGCACATTCCGTTCACTAACCTTCCCAAGGTCGATGTCGTTAATCATGTGGGTCCAAATCACCACAGACTCCTCGCCAAGGTACCCCATCAGTCGAAACGCCACGCGCGGGGACAGCAAGAAAAGAACGGCAAAAACAGTGAAATGCGCCGCCTGTAAAAACACTGCCACAGCACGTTCTACGTATGTAATCTCGGTCATCAGCATAAGAATTTGGACATGACTCGCATGCGACTCCGCCTGCGCCAAAAGCCCACGTGTCTCCGTTGCGAAGTCTCCTTTCCCTGGAACGTACGACACGTCCTCTTTTTTTAGCATCATTCGAAGGTAGTTGACCATCGCACCAGCCAGGGGCGGGGCTGGAGCAAGGACCTTCAGCATCGTGGCACGGTGAAGGTAACGCTCGCGAAAAAGTTTGTCCGCAACCCACCGAAGCAGCTTCACCAGGTAAATACAAAAGTGGTCACTGAGGCGTTGAGGTGGAGAATGAGTTAAGCTCTCGCTCTCTAACGTAGTGACGTCCGCCAACGCCGAGACGGGTGAGGCGAAGGTGAAGCGTGACGACGCGCCCATGAAGGGGAGATACAGCGGACTCCCGTGAGACTTGTCGCGATCGTCCCGCACCGCTGCTGGCGCTGTCGCCGACGATGTCGAGGTCGACGCTGCTTCTGCGACGTCTGGCTTCCCGCTCGTGGACGCGGTTGGCTGGCTGCCGCCGCAGCGCGCAGAAAGAAACAAGGCTACCGTGGGGGCCGTCAGCTGCACCATCGCCGCACTGGCCACCGCTGTAACCGCGTTACGGACGGTAACCGTACGTCGCACGCCCAACATGCTATTGCAAATAAGTCTGCTGCTACCCTTCCTTTATTCCCCCCTCCAGACGCTGCTGACTCCGTCTTCTTGCGTATGTTTCCACCGTTTTTTGTATCTTTTCCCAATAAAAGAAGGTGTGCCATTTCCGCCGCCAGACGCGCACAGTATGGGAGACAACAATACCGCAACAAAGAAAAAAAAAGGACAAAGGAAGGGAAACTAGCAAAGTTGCTTCCGCTTGCGGGACGCACATGCGTGGGAAGGGGACACCAAAACCGAGTACGATGCATTGCCGCCATGGGCATCTTCCAGCGTCACGCACACACACACAGAGAGAAAGAAAGAGATATATATATATATATATGTATATATCCCAAGTTTATCCACACCTGTACAACGCATGTCAGTTGCCCCAATATACAGCCGCGGAAAGCAGTACGTGGCATCACCTGCCTCCAAGCAATCAATTATGTTACGTGCGCGTGTACACGCTTGCAGAGCAGCAAGAACAGTGGTACTGATAGAAAGAAATATGGGCAAGAGGGTGTAACGCTGAAAGAACAAAAACACCCCCAAAAAAAGAAGAAGGACATGACACCTCACCCATACCAGGAGAGGCAGAGAGAAATGTGCCCCCGCCCTCACACATCCCTCACTCTTTCTTCCAAATAACCCTTTTCTTTCCTTCACCCCTCGGACTCCCGCTACATCGCTGGGGCAAAAAAAAAATGCGTGGGGGGGGGGGGAGAGAGAGATTTGTGGAGCAGAAGACTGCAGGAATGAGGCAGCATCCTCGCTATTCCTGCGCGGCAACACTTCTGACCCGCGCAGACTGAACAGACACACCCACCCTCTTCATCTTCACTTTTCTCCTCTTTTCACTTCTCTCTCTCTACCTCCTCCCGCACTCGTTGCGCCGGCTCCTCACCCTTCGCCCTGGATCTTCTCTCCACTCCCCGCTCCCCGCTTCCTCGCGGTCCACGAAGCCACGGCGAAAAAAAAAAGAGGGAATGAGGTGGAGAAGCAACACGCAAAAGCAAAATAAAAAATATATATACCAAAGACAGTTTTTAAAGGAACAGGGGATGACTCCACACCAAACAGCACAGCAAAGAAAAAAAACAAAAACAGAAACGGTGGAGAGTGGCAAGAAGCGCGGCACACCCACACACACACGAAGGAAAGAAGAATAAAAATAAAAAAATAAGGGCCTATAAGGAAAAAAAAAACGTCAATAAAGGTTGGTAAATGAGCGCCGCACAGAAACTCAAAGAAGGAAATGGGTCAGCAAATGAACCAAAAAAAAAGGGGGGGGAATGAAAAAGAAATGATGGCTGAGCACATCTTGCACACTACTATACTTTCCGCCCAATTCGGCGCGTCTACTTGAACGCACTCCTGCACTCTCATTCGCTCACTCGCTTCTAGTTTTTATTCACTTCATTTTTTTGAACTTTCTGTTTATTTATTTATTTTTTTTTTACTTCGTTACCGTGGCGTCTTGGCAGTTTTCAGACCAACATACAGCTGTGTTCTGGCTGCCGTGCTTCTCGTCGCTCTCTCTCTCGGCTACGTGAGCAGGAAACATTCCTGTCCCTCAGTCACAGCAGTCCGCAATTTCTCCTGCAGCAGGGCCTTGCTGCTGTAGCTCGGCAACTTGAGGTAGTGCGCACAGGTGTTTACTGTCGGCAGCGACGCATCCATACGCATTTGCAAGCTTCCAACCGTCTCCTCTCCGAATGAGTTGTTTGAAAAAACCCCACGCCCCTCTGCTTCCGCCGCCACCCCAAGTGTCCGGCGCACGACGGTTATCGGGGGCCGCAGCCCCCCGAGGGGAAGACGGGAGGAACCCGTTACGAAGCGCAGGAAGGCACGCTGCAGTGCGGCATCCCAACCGCTCACCACCTCAAGAAGGAAGGCTACAACGGGGGAATTCCTATTGTAGCCGTGGGCCGCGCTGATAATTCGCCCAAGATCTTCTGGCTTCTCCCAAATCTTCCCGTCCGGGCCAGAGATGAGCAGCTGCAGCTCCTCGACACTGAAGAGTTCGAGGTAGGACGGAATCACGGCATAGCGCAGTCCCTGCCTGAAGTGCATAAGAGGCCTCAGAAGGACTTTCCGGGTGTAATATTGCCGCACCGCGGTGATGTAGTCGAAAACATTGGCCCTGCTCACACGTGTCACGGAGCCATTGGGGCAAAGCTCAATCGCCTCACCCGCCGTGGCCGCATCGGAAATTGGCAAAACAAACGTCAAATCGCAATCGAGAAGTCTCTCTTCAGAGAGGGAACCCAACCACGTAAGGTGAAGGTCCAACTCCGGATCAATGTCATGCAGCCGGTTCTTATCAAGGTTGCCCACAATTCCTTGAGTAAAGCAGCGATGCAGGGGAAGCTCCACCACACGCTCTTCCAGCAGCACCCGTCCCACAAGTAAACCCAAGAGTTCAAAATACGCCAGCGATTTCGCGGTCTGGCACACGGCAGGAAACAGAGGCACTTGCACACGCGTTGCGAGAGCTCCAGTGTTGTCCATGAATTGTTCACTTCGCCACATGTTGAGACGCAGCTCTTGAAGCTGTGCAGCGAATAAGTTGTAAAATTCCCTCGCAGGCCCTGCACCGACGCCATTTTCGTTTTCAAACTCCACACTCAACGGTAAAGGACACATGGCGTGCGTCCGCAGCACAATGGATCCACTTACCAAAAGGTTATCCCGCTGTACTACCACCTTCTTTGTACCGTGCATATTCAACTCCGGCGTCACCCACTCCAGACCATGAATGGGAAGAGGCCACGTAGCCCCACGCAGCGCCTCCTTTAATTTAGACGTCACGGTAGTTGGGAGTCGGCGCACGGAAAAAAGTAGCTGAAGTAACGCTCGTCGAATGCTTAAACTAAAAACGCTGGGAAAGTTCCACAGAATATAACTGGCAAGGTGCTGATCCCTCTGCTCATTCAGTGAGGAGCAGAGAAGCGGAAACCAGAGGAGTGGCGGTAGCATGAATACACCCAGATAATTGTAGAAACCATAGATGAGAGCGCTACACAGTCTTCCCTCTGCATAGTTCACGGGAACCTTTGCCACCAGCAAAACTCGCCGCAATTCATTTAACAGTTTAGCTGCAAACTTCAAGGAAGACCGCGTTCCCGCGTATCTTAACAGATGTGTGAAGAGCTTCCTTGGGGAGCTCATTTCTTTATCGTATGCGCTCTCCTCTGTTACGTCGTCAACACCTTGCAGAAAGGGCTCCTTCACAATGACATACTGAATGGTATGTGCCGTTGACCACAGTGCCATTACACGTTGCACCCCCGACGTGGCACCCAGCTCACCACCGCATTGCATCTCATCCGTGGCGGCAGCCGTTCCATCCACCGGCTTTGTTGCATCCTTCCAGAGCAGTTCCAATACAGAAACTGACAAGTCCGTCACCGGAGTGCCATTGCAGAAAAATACAATGTTATTTATTGAAATGGTGTACATTGCTTCTTCAGCCGTATCAGACGAGGATGGCTCCCCGAAGCAGAAAGTTCTTCTACGCGTCTGCCCTTGGTGGGCACTTGTCACCGTCGTCAACGCTGCCGCACGCAGTGCTCGTTCACTCGCGTATGTACTTTCTCGGGACAACAGTGGCGCAGTTGTCCTAGAGGAGCCGGCGGTCTCGGGAACCTCCGCGGCGTGCAAGTCCATGTGTGTAAAAGACTGAAAAGACAAGGACCGCACGTCCTCTCCCTCGTCCACCTCCGGCATGGGAATAGGAGGGGCAGTCAAAGAATACAAATCCTGTATATCAATGCTCTCCGGTGCACTGTGCCTGCGTCCCAATTTTACATCCTGCCTAAATTTCGCTGTATCCGCGTATTGGTGTTGCAGCTGAAAGAGAATTTGCTTGGCGAGGTGACTCAACGACGTCGTTGGGAGAACGCTAACAGACTCTCGCGCCAGACAAATGTCCAGAAGGGTGTACTTTTCACCGGCAATGAATAGACTTCGCGCAGCAGAAGGCGGTTGGCCAGCCTTTCCAGTGAACTCCAGGGGCTCCAGTTTCACCCGTAGCGGGGACCACATGTAGTTTGTCATGGCCAACATGACTTTGTTGCGTCGAAAACGGCGCTCCAGTCTCGCCGGTTGACGCTCAATCGGCGAGACCTCTTCAACGTTCACCAGTCCTAAATTTTGATTGATGAGCCGAAGAAGCCCCTCTCTAACCTGAGAAAATGCCTTCACCAGCTCCGCGTTTAAAACAGTTTGAGTCACGCTATTCTGCAGCTCACTCGCAAGTTGCTCCAAGAACTCGGGATGCTCATGCACAAGAGAAGCGAGATTGTCTTCACTCTCTAACATGTATTCATGTATCGCAAGCACCTGTTGTAGCCCTGTATTAAGATTCACGTGCCTACTCGCGCGCATCATAATATCAGACAAGATGCCACCTTCGGAGAACCGAGACTCTTCTGCTGTGCCGAGTACCGAACTGAACTCAAGAGGGTTTGTAGAATCAATATTTAAAATGGAAGAATCCGGGGATGGTGCGCGCGAATTCTTCAACAAGGCGCCTCCAGGGCCCTTGCACGTCTTCGGTAAATCCAAAGATAGGATCAAAATCACTTGCTCGAGGAGTTTCGCATACGTCCCCTCCAACTTTTCCGGGGTACCATGAAAAGGGCACGGAGCAGCTCCCGTGCTGCCATGCAGTGAACTCCGAAGGACGCCCTGATGTCGACTCACACGATCAGTCAGAGTCTCCAGCATTCGACGGAGAAACAGCTTCTGGTTATTATTAAAGACGGACATCCCGACGCGATAGGCGTGCTGCAGGATCAAAAGCGAACTCAACGCACTCATTTGTATTTCACACCTTAGCGTCATAGCCGGAAGCCGAGAGTGTTGGGTGAACCCCAATAATGTCAGGGCACGCAAAACTGGCTGATTCGATTGATTTTCCTTAAAAGGCTGCACATATGCCGTTAACGATTGTGTCGTATTTGTCGTGGCCAAGTAAGACAACACCGTTCCCAGGCGAGAGCGGAGGAGATTAAACCGCGCAAATAGATCTTCCTTGTTCTTTGGGTGCAAGCACGTGCTGCCCATGCGAAAGTATTCCACCGTGAGATCGATGCATCGAAGTATCAAAATAGAGCAGTGACGCGCGACAACGGGACTCACCGTTTCCTTGACGACAGACTCCAAGACAGGAAGGCACGACGACACTATCATTTGGATCATGGCGTCCTGTAGAAAATGTACACGAGTAGCAGGGTCACGCAAAAGCCCCTCACGAGTATGACTAAAGTTCTCGCGGGTAAAAAGATACTTTTTGGAGTTCCTTTCATTTCTCTGTCTAACCCCGGCAGCGTTTCGCCCTCGCTTTTTCCAAAAACGTGGCAGAAGTACACAACAAAAAGCACCCTCCTTTTCATTCACCACGCGCTCAGTAGCAGTCTCCTTCAAGCGACTCGTATGGGGCATGTTCAGGGATGACGGAACTTCCGTTCCTTGTAATACGATGACGGGAAATATCTCCGCATTAACGGCGTCGTTTCCCCTTGTCGGCCTAGACACCAGAGGATTCTGCGAACACCGGGTCCCTCGGTTTGGCGCCTCAGCTAAGCAGCTGCCCTGATGCTGGGGAATGATGGCCGCATCCACAAGTGCGTCCTCCCCACAATTACAGAACATGGGGCGTCTGTGGATATAACCGGAAAGAAATGCATAACGACCAAAGCCGTGTGGGTATGAAGAGAGATCATTGCTCACATATTGCATGTCGCTAAAGTCAACCTTGAGGACGCGAGTCCCATAAGAAATCTCATATTGCGTGAACGCTTTACATCTACGTTGGATTTCGTACTCGCCTTCCAGCTGTCTACTCAAACTATCACTGCAATCATTTCGATTGTGAAAGTCGTCCTCACAATGCCAAATAAAGTGCGGCAGTGTAACATAGTAGTCACTCTCACGGGCCAATATGGCAGCTGGTGTGACTACCAGCAAAAATTCCAACAAATGAATAATTTGCTGTTCCTCGGCCATGAAGGGAATGACACTGGCGTCATTCTGGAGAAGGGCCTCAGCAAGTCCCACACCACTGTGTGAGAAGAGTTTCGTTCTTCTCTCCGCCAGCGCGCTCAAAATTTTGCAGACGGAGTGCAAGACGTAATATTTAAGGAACATTTTCACCGCGATCATGGGATCGGTGAAGAAAAGGGTCAGCAACGGTGAGCAGACGGCGTCGCGAAGCGTCGACCCTTGGGCACCCATTGAAACAGTTCCTACTAAAACAGTGACAAACGCCGGCACCGAATGCTCCAGGATGCTACTATTCTTAAGAAGCTGCTCTCGTGAGCGCAATATCCGGTCATAAATGAGGGCAACGCACTCAATGAGGCGCAGCATATACGCTCCATTCTCTTTCGAGAAGCGTTCCGCGGCTGGATCCTTGGCATCCCCCACCAACTGTCTCGCCTGCTGGCTAAACCGCACCGCAAGGGCATTGCAAGGCACTAGAAGATACTTGTTCCAATCCTTCAGCCGCGCTGCCCCGAGGAGGTGACAGAGACACTTTAGACACATCATACGCAGAGGGTGCGCTTCCACCTTCGCCTCCAAGGAGGCAATGACAGAAACCGCATTGGCCTGCACCACCGCCGTGTGTGCCTCAAGCGAGACGTGACTAATACATTTCAGCACCTCCTCTAAAAGCGCTTCATTGCCAGGAGGCGCAACGTCGTTAAGAAGACACAACAACGGCGGAACACCTTTCGCCGTCGCAACCGCCAAACCACCGCGCGGCACAATGTCTGCCAGTAGTGCGAGAGCCTGTACCACGAGCGAACGCAGTCGAGCAAAATCTTTTTGAGAAACAGTTTTAAGTGTTGACACCAGCTCCGCTGCGTAGCGTTCGACCTCAAGACGTCGGACAAACTCCTCGTCCCCAAAGCAGAATGCTACGCAAACACGGTCCAATGCCATGAACAGGCGCTGGGATTTCCCATCGGATTGGCTACGCTTAAAGGCTGCAAGGGCACTCTTGAGATCCCCAACCAGTGAGGCCGCCTCCTCACGCTGCATTAATCCGGCGGAACCATCGGCGGCACTCATGTTTTCGCAACTATTTTCGTTTCAAATTTTCAAGGTGGGAAAGGGAGGTTTATTTCTTCAGCCCTAGTCCTGCGTTACTGGCGCTGCAGCAGCGCCCCACTCAGCAACGTTGGGGGGTTGCCTTTACGTTGGAAAGCAATATATATATATATATATATATATATATATAATACGTTGT